TTTCCCTTTGGTTCAAAAAAAAGAAAAAGGGTTTGATTTTTTTTAAGCCCCCCCCCCCCCCCCCAGTGTATTGCCTTTGGGCAGAGGGAGAGATCATTTGTACGCTTATACAAATAAGCACAGAGATTGCACTTTCTAGCCCCCTCAAAGAACAAATACCTCAGAATCAGGGGAAGTGGGGCTGTGAGTTGCTGTGCCCTCAGACCCCTCCAGGCATCCTCCTGGTATGTGCATGTCACTGCACTGGGTGGATTCTGGGATTTAAAACACATATTTCCCACCCAGTTTGGCTGTCATTGGTGAAATAGTGGTGTGTACAACACACGGAGTCTTTTCAAGGGTCCTTTCACACAGGCAGTTCTCAGGGCATCGACTTGAGAACCTCACTCCCACGTGGGCACAGTTCCCTGTATTTAACCAGTACTGCACCCACTGCGTGTGTATGGGATGGGTCAGCCTTGACTGGACTAACTTTTAGGAAAAGAAAATATTTTCTCACCTCCATAACTAGGACATGGGAAGGCTTTTGTGAAATGTATTCATTGTTCTTATAGAAAGTTTGTTAATACGCTGTCTGCATTCTTTGATCATTTCTAACTTCCTCTGTTAAATTAACTTAGTTGGTCTGTGCTTACATTTTACTCGGATTAGTTTTATAATATTGGAGTATAACTGCTTTTTCTAGTTTATTTCTAGTTTATTTCCCGTAAGTCTGTCAATTCAAAATACGTCTGATAAGTCTGCATTAATCTGTTGGTGAGACATTTAGGCATCTCTCCCATATATGTTAAATGAAGATAGAGGTACCATTTCATAGAAGAAAGAACCCCAGGAATACACGCTGTCACATAATTTCTTATAGAATTAATGGGCCAGAGATTTCTTTTAAGAAAATGTGTCTCCTATCGTAGGTAACAGACTGTGATTAGCTTATTTTTAGCTAACGTATGAAGTCATTTCTAAGATGGAGCTATCCTTTAATCCACGGAGCCGTCCTTCGAGTGAAAATACTTGATCAAATATAACCTTAAGTTCTTTAAACCTTAAATTCCTGGTATCTGCAGAGGTTCGGGTGTTTGCAGAGTGAATTAAACTTTTGTAAAGCCTTGGTTTTTACCAGAGCAGCATTTCACCCTTGGCAGTGTTCCATTTGGGGCTGGATAGTTGTTTGTTGCGCGGCTGTCCTATGCGTTGCAGGGTATTTAGCAACATCCGGGCCTTGACCCACTAGATGTCAATAGCACCCCCAAAAATGTCTATAGACATTGCCAGGTGTCCCCGGGGGCAAAATTGCCCCTAGTTGAGATCCTCTGCTCCAAGTAATCTTCGCCAAGTACCAAGGGCATATGATTTCTGGTGACGGTCGTCACTAAATAGATTTAACTGGTCAAATACTTGTACAAACATAGATAGAAAACTAATCTTTAGGTATCACATTACAATTTTTAAAGTGCTTTATCTCCTTCGAAACTGAAGCAATCTGAGGTGGAAATTAATTATCACGTAGGTGTCTGAGAAGTGGGAGCTTTCAGAAACTTAAAAGTCTAAAATGGAATACCTAAAATAATCTCCCCAGAGAGAGCAAGTGGAGTCCATAAAGAAACACTTTTAATCTTTATTTTAACTGCAGTTTAAACTTTGCAGCACCCAAGCCGTCACCTTCCTCACGTCCCGATTTGCCAGGTGCTACTGGGGGCAGGTAATGCCATGGTCTTATTCCAGCCCTGCGGGTGAGGCTGTCTCCATTGACTTAGGAAGAACTTGGCTTCTGGGTTCTTCCACAATTACACTGGCTTCCCCACTCCCCGGCCCCACCCCGGCCTTTAAATGGAAACTTCCCAAGAGTAAACAGTGTGTGCTATAATTTCCTAATTTTTTTGCCCCATGGCCTGGAGGTGCTAATGAGAGAGGTGATGACAGAAAAGGGAAGCACAGTCACCCACTGAAGCGTCCACTGGCAAAGGGTAAATCGAGTGTCTTATTATAAACATAATACCTTTTCACATATTGAACCTAATCCCAGGAAGCGGTTTTTTTTTTTTTTTTCCAGTTTTGTTCTGGACAAGACTTGATTTAATCACAGATTGTAAGCTCCCCATGTCTCTTTTTGTTTTCATCGAGGCTGTCGCACCTGCCTTTCTCCCTGACCGCTTTGAAGTTGAAGGCTCTGTGGTTATCAGACAACCAGTCCCAGCCCCTGCTCACGTTCCAGACGGACACTGACCACACCACCGGGGAGAAGATTCTCACCTGTGTCTTACTTCCTCAGCTGCCTTCTGAACCTGCCTGCCAAGGTAAATTGAAGGACCAGGTTCACTTGGCCCCGAGAATTAGCAGCAGCTAATGCCTGTCCTTAAGGCCTCTCACTCGCACACGGGACTGCGTTGTGTCTTATCTGCCTGCAGAGCCAGCCCAGGTGTGAGGTCATTGTGGGTCTTTTCTGGGAAGCTTCCCCTGTATCTCTGCAGAAAAAAAACATGCTGCTCATACCCGTGTATCACATTTGATATTCTTTAAACAGCCTTCTGGTTTTGAGTTCTAGCTAAGGCTGAAAATGCAAATAACATACTCCTAAAAGAGGTAAGAGTCCCTTAAAATCCAAACAGACAGTTTGGAGGATTAGTATTGAACATCTCCAGCAAACTCTTTTTGAAACAGGGAGTTGTTTTAAGTGACTGTGCCTTTGTTTTGTAAATTATGTGTGGTTTAAAAAAGCATTCAGGGCTTCCCTGGGAGCGCAGTGGTTGAGAATCTGCCTGCTAATGCAGGGGACACCGGTTCGAGCCCTGGTCTGGGAGGATCCCACATGCCACGGAGCAACTAGGTCCGTGAGCCACAATTACTGAGCCTGCGCGTCTGGAGCCTGTGATCCACAACAAGAGAGGCCGCGACAGTGAGAGGCCCGCGCACTGCGATGAAGAGTGGCCCCCGCTTGCCACAACTAGAGAAAGCCCTCGCACAGAAACGAAGACCCAACACAGCAAACATAAATAAATTAATTAATAAACTCCTACCACCCCCAACATCTTCTAAAAAAAAAAAAGTGATTACTTAAAAAAGAAAAAAGCATTCACACTCATATCACATGACTGTCATAAATCCTTTTCTGGGAGCTGGTTTCGATAGAAAAAAGGGAGAAGGGTCTGGGCGAACGGAGCCACCTTGCCTATCCCAGCCTCCTTAGAGGAGCACTTAAGACCCCAAGAGAACAATGCGGTAGATTGCGCTGCCAAGCAAAGTACTAGATCCAACATGTGTGGCCAAATCACTGTCAACAGGAAGTTTCTGAAGTGAGTGTGTAAAAAAGAATCATGAAAAAGAACTCTATGAATCATGATGACATTCTGGAATGAAACAGTAAATATTGATTTAGCAGATATCTTATGATCTTAAATAGAATTACGCATCCTTGAAAAGAAAGGGCAACCTTGCCAGTCACGGGAACCCTGCTGACGTGGTCTTTGTCCAACAGAGAACCTGCCTCGCTGTGGTGCCCTGGAGAGCTTGGTGAACGATGTGTCCGATGAGGCCTGGAATGAGCGTGCAGTGAACAGAGTCAGCGCAATCCGATTTCTGGAAGATGAAAAGGACGAGGACGATAATGAAACGGTATGGGATTCGAGCTTCTTGGCTTCCACAGACGTTCAAAGTTTAAAAGGCTTCCGAGATTGAAAGTGACACCTGATAAAGATCTCTCTTATTTTCAAATAGTCTTTTCTCTGTTCTGCCTTCAGCATCTAAGGATTTTGTTTAGAAGGCAAAACTGGGAGTTTCTAAGGTTCTGATTCACCAAATGAGACTTTGTTTGTTTGTTTGAATAGTTTGTGGGTGCTTCTTTTTCTTTATTTGTGATAGTTACCCCTCCTGCCCCCACTGCTTTCTTAAAATTGGTTGGGAATTTTTTCTTCTCTGTCGTTCCCAGTGAACTGAGTCTCTCCCTGCCCTCTACCCGCATTTGTAGCCGTACCATGGGGATTCATGCATGTTTCACCACATGGCTTAGCTTGCCTGCTGTCCTCCTGGACTTCTTGCTTATCTTCACATAACCGGGAGCCTTCACCTGCATGCAGAGAGCTTGTGATCTGAAGTAGGATTCCCTTATGGGTTTTCATTCAGAAATCAGGAATAGGTTTGAAAGGACCACTCAGCCCTACTTGCCTCCATCCTCCATATGTGTCTCAGCCATCCAGTTGAGTCAGGGACAACTCTCGGAGTCTTCCTGCAATTTGGCTTTGGCTTCTTAAACTCCTTGCACTAATTGAGATTTTCATAAGCAGAACTCAGAGGGAGTACTTGCAGCCCCCAAGACAAAGGGCAGTTTTTAAATTACTGCCTGGAGTCTTTGTTATTCCAGCTGTCCCCAAGTGGGCTTTCATTCACTTACAGTGGCAGAGGGCAAAGTAGGAATTAGGCATGACAAAATGACTCCAATGTAAATGACTTTATCTCATGACTTCTTAGAGCATGATTATTTCACCAGTTACGCGTTGCCTTAGTACTGCTCCTCCTTTGTTAACCTATCGTAGCTCCTCCTGAAACTCCTGGACTGGCCATTTATAAGATGTAAATGCTGTTTTAGGAGCAGAAGAGCACATAACATGTTAAATAATATAATTTTAAAAACATTGCCCATACCCTGTCACTTCACTTCCCACCCTGTGGTCTTTATTAGAAAAATGTGAACTTTCTTCAGTAGGTCATAAATACAACACAGCAGCAAAATTAGAAAAGAAGTCCTTTCTCACTTCCCTTTTCCTTCACCTCCCGTGCCTCATGGGTTGAAGAAAGCCAGAACCGCTTCAGATAATAGTAGAACATTCTAGGGATTTTAATTTTAGAATTTTTTTGACTCCTTTCTTTTCTTCCTCCCCTCCCCCCACAATTCTATCTCACAAATCTTTTATTTTTTCTTACCGCACGTGGAACTTTGTTCTTATCGTAGCACTCATCTCGTATTTTGCAAAGTATTCTTTTATTCTGAAAGGAGCCCTTCCATCTTGACTAGGTAAGTTATACTCAGCACTTTCATCTTCCCTTAACCACGAGGGAGCAGTTGATAAATGCACGTACCTCCAAAGCAAGCTTTTCGCCCACTCTGCCTCTTAACCTCTAGGAAGGGGAGACCTGTGTTGGAAAGCTACCCAGGAAGCTTCGCATTTGAAGGAGTGATGGAGTAAAACCCAAACACTCACCCCGCTCCTTGCTTTTCAGAGAACACTCCTGAGACGAGCCACGCCCCACCCAGGGGAGCTCAAGAACATGAAAAAGACGGTGGAAAATTTACGGAACGACAGGAATGCTGCTAAAGGACTGGATTCCAACAAAAACGAGGTCAACCACACCATTGACCGCGTGACCACGTCAGTGTAGATGGCGCGTCCACGTCATACCTCCCGAGTCATCCTGCTGCGGAGCCAGCCTTTCGCCGCGTGGAGCCCCCAGAGGCCCTGGCCTCCACCGGACCCCGCACCGGTCCCCACCCACGCGTCAGGATGCTGTGCCCCTGGGAAGTGCCTTACTCTGATCCGGCAGCCAGTCGCTGCACCCGCCCGTGGTCTCCGGCCTGATTTTTTTTTTTTTTTTCCCTAAATTTCAGTTGTTTGTAATAAGTAGAATACACTACTGACAACATCTGACCTTTGTTTTTGTCTTGTGTTGGGGTCAGGGAGAGCAGGAAGGGGAATTTTGACCCTCCTCCCTCCCATAAAGTGCTGGGACATTGTGAACCCAAGTTCTCTTGGACCTACTGATGAGAGAGAGTTTTATGTATGGGGGGAAAATTGATACTTTTTTAAACCCTTTTTGGCAGCTCAGATGGTGTACATTTAAACATTTTGTATAGGTATTTCATAACAAAAAATATGTATTTCTTTTTGTGATTTTATCTTGGAAACGGTACGTGCAGGAAAAAAAAAACAACCACCAGTCCTAAAGTATTTGTTTTTATTTGTACCATCCACTTGTGCCTTACTGTAGCCTGTGTCCTGTCAAACCATTTGTCACAATGGCATCTTTGAACAGAGAGGAGGCTGGAAAGGTGGTACTTTGAAAGCAATGTTGGATTTTAATTAGTAATCTACCAGGTGGATTTGTTTTTAACCAAAAAGAAGAGTTACCACCAATTCGTTAATTATACCAGTTGATTTTTTTTTTTTTTAAAGGTGAACCAAAGGATTAGACTGCTAATATTTCATTTCTTTTACAGTCTGACTTTTTCATGAATGAGTCTTTTGGGATGAGTGTTGTGTCTGCTTGTACCTACTCAGAAGGTATGTGCCATTTGTAAAATAAAACAGAGCAGAAAAGCACAAAAAGAAAAAACCGGTTCAGAAATTCAGTGGGGAAATGCATTATGTACTATTAAAGAAAGTATGGTTTTTACTGAAGAAAGCTTTAAAAGTTTTATATCGAGATATAAAACCACAATAAAGCAGAATAACCTACAACCCCGTTAGAAATGTTGCTGTCTTTATAAGTGCAATTTAATTTGTACATAGAGTTTGGATCAAAGTATAACAAAATATTGCTTCAAGTTTTAATTTTAAGTCTGCTAATTTAAGGGGTCTGGGGGTATGTTTTGGTGTGTTTCTGTTGGTTTCTTTTTTTTAAATTTTGTATGATGTGATAAAAGAGGAATGAAAAGAGGACACAGCCTGTCCCTGTGTGTTGTTTAGGAAAATCATGCTGTTGGTGTTGTCTTTTTATTCTTACCATGAAATAAAGTCACCCTGGACATGAGCCGTTACAGCTTTTTAAAGTTGATTTCTCCTCGTATGTTCAAATGATAGAAGGCAGCCGAGTTCTTTAAGAATGCCCTCCCTTTCCTCAAATACCTGAGCCGCCGGTGGTTTTATGCTAACCTCCTGTGGGTCTGAGCACCCCTTCCTCCCACCCGAGGCGGAGCCCAGCATCGCCTTCAAGTCTGGTGCCTCACCTTGGGTTGGGGCTGTCTGGCCAATCAGACTCCTTAGAAACCTGCTTTCAACCAACCAACTGCGATACCTTCTTTTACTACCAGGAGTTTCACTTTGCTTTTTCGGTGGTTTGTATGTGCCTGTACATTTCTAAGACTGCTGACTTGAAAGCACATGGCACATAAGTGGTTTTCGGCTGCTCAGTTTTATCTCTCATTCCCTCATCTGTGGGCACCCCTTTCCTTTTCTCCATTTTAAGATTCCGGCATACTCGGTTTTGTTTTGCAAAAGATGATGCCACAGACTCATGGGCTGATAAGAGCAGCAGATCGGCTTTATTTAAGGAGAGTTTTCTTGACCCTGAAGAATGGATACAACTTCCCTGGTATTTTGTTCCTTTGTCTTCATATAAAGTCCACCCTTTACTACTCAGTTCACCATGGCTTTGGTGGAATAGAGGTGGACAGAATAGTGTGTGTGTTTGAATTTTTCTAGAAAATTCTACGTACCTGATTACTTGTTTTCTTTGGCCTGTCTCTCTTACTTTACATTCACTTGGGGTTTTTTGCTTTGTTTTGCTTTTTGTTTTCAGTCTTGGGATTAGTTTCCTCCCCCTTCCTTGAGCAGGAAAAGTCACCTTCACCTTAGTCGTTTACTCTGGGTGACACTACGATGCTCTTACCCTCCGGATGCTGGGACAGGTGTAGGCGTCATGACGGAAACAGCACCCACCAGTCAGACCCAACCCAAGAACATGCCGGCCTTTTCCAAGGAAAAGGAAACAAATAATTAGGTACATAGAAATTCCTAGAAAAATTTAAATGCACACGCTGTTCTGTCCATCTCTGTTCCACCAAAGCCATGGTGAACTGAATAGTAAAGGGTAGGCTTTATATGAAAACAAACAAAAACCACCATGGAAGTTCTCTCTGTTCTTCAGGGTCAAGATTTCTCCTTAAATAAAGCCAATATGCTTCTCTGTCAGCCCATGAGCCTAAGCATCATGTTTTTTTTTTCTTCATTTTAAAAAATTCTTCCTTTATTGGTAAAAAACAGAGTGATTCTACAAAGCAATTTCAAGGGCCATCAAAGTGTTAAAGCCATCAGGTGTGTCAGGCAACAGTCATAAGCATCATATTTATAAAATAAAACCGAGTATGCCAGAATCTTAAAATGGAGAAAAGGAAAGGGGTGCCCACAGATGAGGGAGCAAAGTTTCTTGTAGTTATAAGGAAAATTTAAACGTGAAAGGATTGCCTTGTGAGGCCAGTGCCAGAAGTTCCTGACCTTTTCCTGAGGAACCCTTCTCCACAGCCCGGTCAGCCTCCACCCCCTGTCTGGCCCTTCCTTTAGGAAAGGGAGGAGTAGCTGTAAGGCCTGACTGTTTGTCTTGGGGGCAGTGACAGGTAAAAGCAGGGAAGACGAGTATGACCTGTTCATCCACTTGTTTGTAGCCCCTAGTTCCTCTTCTTTAGCAAGGAAATTACACCTAAGTAGATAAAACCTTCAAAATGTAGACAGGATAAAATCATGAAATCATTGATGATGAAAAGAGGGGCAGGTGAGAAAACTATTGTTTGCCTGGATCTTCTGTTTTTTTTCTGGAAAGTTTGGAACAGTGGTCCTGACCAACCCAATCTTTCTACCTAAAAACTTCCTGGGGTAAAGAAGCACAGGTAAGTCGTTTGCACCAGCCTTTGACAGCCATCCTGCCATCTCTTGTGAAATGGACCACACCCAAGAAGGCACGCATAATGCATGGGGTGGAGGCTGGGAAAATTCCTTCTTGGTCAGAAAGTTACTCGGAGCAGCCAGTTCTAATCGTATAAGATGACTGACACACCTGCTACCGGCATGCTGGCTGGCGGGCGTCAAGGCTGCACAAACACACGCAGTCTGACCAGGGACGGCCTTGGAGCTGCTTATTAATGGGAGGCAAGCAGGGACCTTGCAGCTGGGTGAGAGTTAAAATCTCACATCAGCCTTTAGTGTTGACTTCACCCAACTTTCCAAAGAGCCAATTAAAAAAAACTTTAAAATATGGGTAATCAAAAACATACAAAAGTAGAATTATGTAGTGGACCCCCATATACCTGTCCCCCAGCGTCAGCAATTACCAACACGAGACCAATGCTAAGCCATTTTACAAGATATTGAGTAGAGTTCCCTGTGCTATATGGTAGGTCCTTGTTGTTTATCTATTTTATATACAGTAGTATCAATCCCAACCTCCCAATTTATCCCTCCCCCCCTTCCCCTTGGGTAACCGTAAGTTTGTTTTCTATGTCTGTGAGTGTATTTCTGCCTTGTAAATAAGTTCTTTATTTTTTATTTATTTATTTTTTTTTGGATTCCACATACAAGCGATATCATATGATATTTGTCTTTCTCTGTCTGACTTACTTCACTTAGTATGATAATGTCCAGACCCATCCATGTTGCTGCAAATGCTAAGCCGTTTTAAAGGAACCAAATTATGTTTTAAAATACATCCATAAGGAGAAGACTGTACAATGAAATAATTAAAAAACGTGGGGGGAGCAGAGAGCAAGTGTACCTTTTAAAGTAGCACTTTGGAGTTTAAAAGTTTGAGAGTCAGCACAGCACAGCCGTTGCAATCATATGGACTTGGGTTTGAATCCCAGCCCTGCCATGTGACTTTGGATAAGCGACTTAACCTCCCCGGTCCTTCATCTCTAAAATGGGGCAGTGATACCTCTTACAGGCTCAGAGTGAGGATGAAATGGGTTGCATAGGACACAAGCTCTCAGGGAGTGTGTGGCTGCAACTATTACAGGTCTTTGCTGTTGTTGTTATTATAATGGTGTTATTAGTGGCTCTGCACTTCCTACCACGGACTCAGCAGTGTGTGAGCACCAGTGTCTTGTTTCCCTGAAATGAGGACACATGCTAGTTCTCTGGTGAAGAAAACTTCATCTGAAAACTCTCTCTTCTACGATATTCTCTAGAGACCCATGAGTTATGTAATGGGCGAGGGAAGTTTTGTCTGGTCAGCTCACTTAATGGTAAGGTTAGCAATGGTCCCCTGGTAACCCCTTCATTGTAACTGGACTTTACTAAGCTAGCTGTCCTCAAGGGAAAGCTAGTTTCTACCAAGAAACCATTAAACGCCCAATTGAGAAAACGGTCTCTGGGTTTCCAGGCCACGTCCCCTCTCTGCCAAGTCCTCAGTGTTCTAGGCTTTGGTCTGTTGTGCCCATTTAGTATCTTAACTCTATTTCACCTTTGATTTTCATAACTCCCTCCTTTTTCCCCTCTTGCTGTGTTCTGTCTCATCTCTCTCCAAGGGAGACCTCTGAGGCTTTTCTGTACCAGGACGGGCAAGTAGACTTAAGACATGGAGCATCAGTGGGAAAAAAAACCTACTGGATAAAAGAAATCAATGCAGCCTGAGCTGGTGCATGTGCGGTCCACTCCCATCTTGCTGGACTGTTTTCTTTTTGAAAAGGTGACAGCTGGCGGGAAGGGGACACCGACCA